ACCACCACTTGCTCCTTCAAGTGGCCTGAGGAAGAGGAAAGAGGGAATAATCGGGAGTAAGCACAATGAATCAACCATTGACATGTCCAATGTCCTAGGAGATGACGTGGAGTTGAAGGGGGCAAGGGAACAGAATGGAGAAGGCAGAACGGCTCTTCTGTTAGCTATGGACAAGGGGCCACAACTGATCCAGGGGGAGGGTTTGCCTGAAACTGGAGGGAAACAGATACATACCAATAGCTAGAGTCTCCCAGGAACCCAGATTTGGACAAACTGAAGAGCTCTCCCTTCAGGGGCTGTGGAACTATTAATAGAAAGTGCCTCCCTTGGGGGAGATCAAGTCTCTGCTCCCTTTCATAGGTGCCTCCCTCTCCCAGAAGGGCAAACCTCCTAAGAAAGGTTCCTGTTGCCTCCACAGGCAACAGAACCAATGAATCGTGTCCACACACCAGGCCTGGCACCTGTTCTAAATCAGGACAAAGACACTGAGGAGCAGGACCTCAGAGTTTGATTCTTACAGCCAGAGGGAGAAAAACCCCAACATGTCCACTTAAATAGTCAGATAGTATGCTTTCATCCAGACTGGAATATGCATTCATGTATATTTTCATCTTCGGAACAGGTGGTTGGAAATGCAAATAAAGTAATAAGTGTCAGAGCCGTATCCTAGCAGTAGCTACTTTGCAAACGTTACCATGGCACCAATTCAACAGTGTTCTTAGAGGCAGCCACACCTCAACAAGGTCTTTCTAACTTGGGACAGCAAAGTTCAAAGGAACTAAGAGACATAAGCTGTGGAAGAGTCCTGAACCAATTAGGGAGGCGAAGCTTTCAGCACGACTGGCCTCTGAAGCCCCTTGAAACAGGGCATGGTACTTAAAGGAGGAAAAAAAGGGAACAGACCATCTTCTAGAACACCTGGAATGTGATCCAAGCCTGGAGACAAAATGATGGTAATTATAACTGCTAACATTTGTTTTTAGCTGCTAACAGATTGTGCACAGATTGGGAAGGGCAAACTCCATTCTCCAACTACTCCAGTGCAAACTGTGCTTTACCAGTACTCACTAAATCCTAGCTGGGGGTGAAAAGAGAGCAGATTGTCCTCATGTATGCCTCATTTATGTTAAAGGAAGAAAGGCTGTCGTCCCAGGGCTGCAGTCCAGGGGCTACTCACAACCGGAAGCAAGGAGCCGGGTTCTGTAGATCTCTGCTTCTTACTGCTAGTAGATCTGCTCTACTGAGGGCAGCACGCCTTTCCCAAGCACAGCCAAAGCACAGGGGAAAGGACAAGGTTGTAGGGACACAGGATGCTGGGAAGACAAGACTCAGCCAACCTGGCCTGTGAACCAACTAAGATTTCCCGAGGTAGGCCCTGGGCTGAACAGGGCATGCCCCTTGCCTGGGTAGGGGCAGAATGAAAGGGCAGATAAGCAAAAGTGAATGATACAAGAGAGTCTGTGATCAATGGGAAACTGATGATATAAACCACAAATTCTCTAAGAGTTCAAAGCGGGCGGGAGGTCTTTCCTGCTTCCCCTTCAGATGAAGGTGATCAAAGAATAGTCTCCGAAAGGCCCTCTGAAAAAGTGGAAGTTTCACCAATGGGGGACCACAGCCGACGGACAGTGAAAAGCCATTAGCAAGAGTGAACCTCCAGAGCTCCCTCCGTGACCTATGGAGGCCACTAGTCCTCAAGATCTCCTTAGAGGCAGTAAGGATGCATCCTTCCCAGCTAAAATAGGAGACGGAGTGCAAAGAGAGGAGTACTTAGGAAAACAGTCAGGACTTTCCATACTGCCTTTATTTTGAAAGATACAAAGACTTCTGCTTCCCATAGGGTAACGGGGGGACCATTAATATAGTTAACTCCATCCATCCACCCCCCCCCCCAAAAAAAACAGAAAGGCAGAGAAAGGCCTCATGGTATGGCTTCTGTAACACTTCAGTCAAATCATGGGGGACTCGAAATTGCAATTTGAGTAGTCACTTGGATATCAGGTGTGCCACCCAACAGCCGACCACATCCGGGGCTCAAGACTGAAAGGTAAGTGAGACTCTGGGCTTGGTTTCAGCAAGTTTTGATATTCAGAGAGCTCTATCTAGTCTGATGAGTAGGGCTGAAAGAGTAGGAAATCCAGGGAGAAAACAGTGCCCAGGATCAAGCCCGAGATGGTGTGAGGCTCCAAGTGATGGATTCATTGCCAAAGGTGAAGCAGGAAAGTGCAGGACCCAGAGAAAAAGGTAGGCAAGGTCTGGGAAGCCTCGGGGCATGAATTCAGTCACATCAGGAAAATGCAGAACTAAGGAGGACGCTGAGGCAAACACCTGATCCTATGGACTAAATTGACATGACAGAGGTTAGGAGAAACCTGGAATGGGATGGGTTTGTGGTGTCCAGAATTACTGCAGAGATATCAGCCATTAGGAGAATGGTGTCTTGAGTAAAGTCACATTCCCTCTATAGCAGGACGGAAGCTCCTAAAATATTTTCTGCCCAGGACAGGTTAGCAAAGAAACTCTGCAGGTTTCAGCTGTACCAAACAGCAGGGATGGAGGTGATCGGGGTTGAGGAAGAAAGAAGCTGACCAAAGTGCTTCCATATGAAAGGCTGTAATAAATATTCCTGTACGACAAATTAGATTTTGGAAAGGGAGAAATATATTTGGTTTTGTTTTGTAATGGTCAGTTTATCTCTCTTAAATTTTCTACTTTACCTGTGTTGTTGCCTGGACAAAGAGTTAAATGTAAAAGATAAAACCGTACATACTAGAAAAAAAATATGGGGAATACTTAACTCCTCTTTGATGGGGAAGTCTTTTCTAAATACAATAATAAAAAATAAATCTTAAGGGCAAAGATGAGACCATATAAAATGTAAAAATCAGTATAATTAAAAATGCCATCAGCATAATTAAATGGCTTCATAAGCCAGGTAAAATACTTGCAAAAATTATGACAGCTAATCTTCTTAATACATAAAGAGTTCTTGCAAATCAGTAAGGAAAACCTCAACAAAGCACGGGGGGGAAGGGGGAGAGATAGGGGATCAAACATATTTCACAGAAGAATAAACACTACAGACCAATAAGCATGTGAAAATGTGTTCAACCTCACTAGGAATTGAAAAGGTCCAAATTATAGCCACAAATGGATACCGATGCTCACTTCTCAAATGGGCAAAGGAGGTGATAAACATCACTGGAAGAGAATGAGATAGAATTGGGACACCTCCCTAAAAAAGCAATCTGACAGGGGCGCCTGGGTGGCTCAGTCGTTAAGTGTCTGCCTTTGGCTCAGGTCATGATCCCAGGGTCCTGGGATTGGGCCCCGCATCGAGCCCCACATCGAGCCCCGCATTGGGCTCCCTGTTCTGTGGGAAGCCTGCTTCTTCCTCTCCCACTCCCCCTGCTTGTGTTCCCTCTCTCGCTGTGTCTCTCTCTGTCAAGTAATAAATAAAATCTTTAAAAAAAAAAAAAAAAGAAGCAATCTGACAAAGTTTGAGCTAATAATACAATTTTTAGTGATCTACATTAAAAGAAAAAAATACAAATTTATTTATAGAAATGCTCATCAAAGCATTATTTATAATAATAAAAAGAGGCAAGAATGTGAATATTTGATTACATATTTGTTGCATAATAAAATACTAATTAGCCATGAATATTGTTTTTTGAAGAATTTTTAATAACATGGGGAAATACTCATGACCTAATACTAAGTGAGAAGCGAAGTATAAAACATGATTTTATTTATGTTGTACATAACAAACACACATAGCAAAAAGACTAGAGGGAAGAGACATGTTAACAGTTATGGGAACGTAAACTGAGATAAACCAGTATGAGTTTTTATTTTTCCCTTTATGTATTAGTATTTTTAAAAATATCCTACAAGAAATACATAATACTTGAATAATAAAAAGTTATTTAAAAATGTTCTTAAAACTATATTAGAATGCCCTAGGTTGCTGCTTGGGAACAATGATAACTGAGTAATTTTTGTTTAAAGGAAAAAAAAATCATTACTTAAAGACCTCAACTTTTGTGGTTTAACATCCCAGAAACTATTTATTTGAAATAAACTAAAGAACCATATGTGCTTTCCAGAATGGTAAAGTTTCCAAAATGTTCTAACAAGACCCACCCACTGGAAATAAAACTCTCAAACAGCAAAGTGTCCACGACCCAAAGAAAACTCAAGTGGCATTCCTACGAGAAGTCTCCACCATTAACCATGATCCTTTTCCCAAAAGGATAATTACTCCAATTTACTGCCACTGATCTGAAGAAATAACTGATTTTAAATGCAAGCACACTCAAAACCTATGCAGATAATTAGATAATATCATTCAGAAAAGGGACAAAGGAAGAACATTACAAACAAAACTGCAAAATCCCTGCTTGTTTGTTTAGACTTTCAAAAACAAGAATCATTTAGATAATCCTGGGATTTGTACTATCACTACTAAGAGCTCATCTTTATTGAGTCCTTAATATGAGTCAGGCACATAATAAAGCATTTTATATGTATTTCATCGTTCAATCCTCAAGATAATGTACTATTCTTATCCTCCTTTTACAGACAAGGAAGCTGTGACTCCCAGATTTTAAACAACTTGCAGAAAGTCACTGAGCTGGTAAGTGGCAGGGCCCAGATTTGACAAGGTAGTCTGTTTCCAGAACTTGCACTGTTAACCCATTTGCTGTATTGCCCCACAATCTGTGAAAGAGGTAGAGGTGCATTATACCTTTCTTTTTCGTCTCCTCCCCACGCCCCAAGAGTCTCAATTGAAGAAAGATGAATCCTGAGCTTTCTAGTCTATGGATATATATCACTGTATTTTACAATCAAAGACGCTATAGTGATTGTGCTACCTCCTTTAAAGAAGAGTATGGTTCAATAAAGTAATGCATTTTCTTTAGTTTTTCCTGCACTGGTTTTATGTATAATTTCTCTCCCTTGTTTAGGGTTGCAGCTAGAAGACCATAAAACTAGCAATGGAGCCCTTATATGAAGAATACCTAGCAAATCGTGGAACAATAGTAAAACCTTACTACTGGCTAAGCTTCTCTCTAGATTGCTCGAACTGTCCTTACCATATTCGGACAGGTGAAGAAGCAAGAGTTCCCTATACAGAATTTTATCAGATTTTTGGATTCCCTTATGGGCCAGCGTATCCTCAAACAAAGCACCTCACATTTTATGAACTAAAAACTTCTTCTGGAAGCCTGGTGCAAAAGGGCCATGCTAGCAGTTGCACTGGGAATAATACCCACCCAGAATCAATGCTATTCGAGATGAATGGTTATTTTGACTCAGCCCTACACAATAACAACGCTATCAGGCATATCATTCTGTATTCCAACAACTCCCCTTGTAATGAAGCCAACCACTGCTGCATCAGCAAAATGTACAATTTCTTAATAATGTATCCAGACGTTACTCTCAGCATTTACTTTTCTCAGCTCTATCATACTGAGACCGAATTTCCTGCCTCGGCGTGGAACCGGGAGGCTCTCCGGAGCCTGGCCAGTTTATGGCCACAGGTCACTCTGAGCCCAATAAGTGGCGGAATTTGGCATTTTCTCCTCAACAGCTTTGTGAGCGGTGTCTCGGGATCAACTGTTTTCCAGCCCATCTTAACTGGGAGAGCACTGGCTGATAGGCAGAACGCATATGAGATCAAAGCCATAACGGGGGTGAAACCTTACTTTACCGATGTTCTTCCCCAGACCAAAGAGAATCAGAACATAAAAGCTCAGGCAGCTTTAGAGAGCTACCCCTTAAACAAGGTCTTTCCTGGACAGTCTTTGCAAGTGACAAGGGGACGACCGCAACCCAATCTGACCCCAGACCTCAGGGTTCCTGTCATTTTTGTGCTGGTGCCTTTCAGAGACCTACCACCAATCCACGTGGGTCAAAATCCACATAAACCCAGGAATATCGTGAGGCACTTAAATATGCCTCAAATGTCATTCCAGGAAACCAAGGACCTCGGAAGGCCTCCCATGGGAATGCCAGTCGAGAGAATGGAAATCACGGAGCAGCTTGCAAGTAGCAAAGAGATGGATGAGAAGAAGAAGAGGAAGAAGAAAGGAAAAAAATAAAATCTATTATTTCTACAACGTGAGACCAAACAACTACCAGAGGACTAACTCGATAGCAAACAAAAATCTGGAACCTTTCTCTCTTCGGTCTGATCCAAGATGGGAGATGAATGGATACACTAAAAGCAAAACCTGAATTATTTGCTATCTCAACTACTATAAAGCTACACTACTTTTAACATAATCCAAGATGTTTCCATAAGCAACTTGACCTCTCTCCTTTATTTTGAAAATGACATTATCAAAATGGAGCCATTAGTACCTTGCTAATATTTTGGTGTGGAAAAGGAAATGTCGTTATTCTAGTCTACCCACATCATCTTTCCACCAAAAAAGCCCATGGACTAAACAGCTTCTTAAATTGATTTCAGTATAAAAATTTACTGTAAAATTGGAAAACAGCCTGCAGTTACTGACATTAAGTGCTGTTTGCAAAAGCAAACCAGTGATTTTCCCATTAATTGTTAATCATGGACAGAAGACTTTAGGCAGCCCATTTTTTTTTTTTCTAAAGTGGTTCAAAATAGTTCTGTGTGAAAAAAAAGTTATTTTGCTAATTGATTATATACAGCTACAAAAACTGATTTTTGAAACCTAGTCACCTGCTCAATGTGATTTTTCCCAGCTCAGGTCTCTCCTTCCTGAGCAGACGATAGAGGCAGGATGATACATGAGACCCTGCAAAGGCTCCTTCCATCACACACCATATAAAATCCAAGCTGCTCTTACTGGCTGTCAAGGTTCCTCCTTTACCTTCCAGTTGCCTAGTCTCATCAGCAAGATTGTAAGTTCCCACAGGTCAAACACTGTCTCTCTCCCTCTTTGGTTTTCCCTTAGAATCTAGCCAAGTATCCAGGCAAAATGTGGGTAGCAAGGTTGTGAATCTACATCTCAATAACTTTACCAATCACTGTTTCCCAACACTCCATACCCATTCCAACAAAGGGCTCGCTTAACCATCCTGCAATAGACATCATTTTTTTTGTTGTTAGCATCCATTCCCCCTTCTTCTGATATAGCTCCCCAATGCATAATTTGTTTTACTTCCCTTTTTCCAAACGTTTTCTCTTTTCAGCAATGTATATCTATACAGTCTCTCAAAATCTTGTTCAAAACACACTTCTAGGAAGTGCTCCTTGAATAACCATCTGAGCGTGTACATTAAAGCACTTTGTGTTTAATTCATTTACATTTGCTGCCTCACTTTCCTCTTAGAAGTATGTAAAAATATATTACAAGAAAAATGTATATCCATTTGTAACTTGCTACTAAATTTTTTCTTTAAAAAAAAAGATTTATTTATTTTTAGAGAGAGAGAGCATGCCCACTGTGGGGAGGGGCAGAGGGAGAGAGAACCTCGAACAGACTCCCTGCTGAGCAGGGAGCCTAATGTGGGCTCCATCTCACAACCTTGAGATCATGACATGAGCCAAAATCAAGAGTTGGATGCTCAACCAACTGAGCCACCCAGGCACCCCAAATTTTTTCTTAATGTATGTAAAAAGTAACGCTAAGCTAAAATAAGATAGTTTTGCCATTAAAAAAAGCTTAAAGCAGATGGGGTAACTGGGTGATGGACATTGGGGAGGGTATGTGTTGTAATGAGCACTGGGTATTATATAAGACTGATGAATCACAGACCCGTAACCCTGAAACAAATAATAGATTATATGTTAAGTAATTGAATTTAAATTAAAAAAGGAAAAAAAATTTTTTAATTAAAAGTAAAAAGCTTAAAGCACATAGTACTCCATGTCAAAAGAGGAAGTGGAGGAGGAAGAGGAAAAGAAAGAAAAGAAAAATGTTTAGAAAAGAAATTTCTATTGTGATTAAAATAAACATCACTAAAATTTTTAAAAGAATATTCTATTGTTAACATGAAAAATTTTATAGAATTATTGGAATATAATTACATTGTAGTATACAGTGATTATTAATTTAAAAAGTACTGAAGTTTATTATTAGATCATGAAATCATATGTCTGCAATCTGGGATGTAGAGTCAAAAAAAAATAAAAGAGACCCAACGCGACAAATTCAGCATCTCTATCCAGGTGGGCAACTGAGCTAAGAGCACTGGCAAATCTGAGGGGTTTGGAGAAACAGCTCTGAAGCTTCTGCCAGGTTGGCCGGTGATGGCCTGCAGCAGTTGGGAAGGATCTACTCACCTTATAGGTTTCTTAAAAAAAAAAAAAAAGAAAAAAAGTAGATTCAAACAGTTGCCATGAAGTCTATCTACAAAGTGGTCAAAAAGACATAACAATCAGGCTACAAAGAATTCAGTTAAAAACATAGTCTGAAGGGGCGCCTGGGGGGCTTAGTCAGTTAAGAGTCCAACTCATGATTTCAGCTCAGATCATGATCTCAGGGTCCTGGGATCGAGCCCCAGGTTGGGCTCCATACTCAGCAGGGAGTCTGCTTGGGATTCTTTTTCTCTCTCCCTCTGGCCCTCCCCCCACTCGCTCTCTCTCCCCCTCTCTCTTTAAAAATAAATAAATAAATCTTTAAAAGAAACATTAAAAAAAAAAACATCGTCTGAAATCTAAGAAGAATTTGTATTTCAATGGTATATAACAAAGGGAGAAATGTTGCCTGAACTACAGGAAAGAAAAGTGCCTTTTGGCAGTTAAATTTTTGTACCAGTTAGACATGTCTGGAGCTAGGAAGAATGTCACTGACAGGTCATGAGTCCCTGGCCAATATAGTCAAGCCTTCAAAAGACTGTTAAGAGAGCATAAAGATATATGGCCCTAGGTATGTAGTCTCACTTTCCCCTTTGGTAAAACAAGAGATAAGACTAGTTCATAATAAGGTCCTTTCAGCTCTATCCGTTCTAAGATGGCTTGGATCAGAACAATAGATCCATGGAGCAAGCTTTTACAGTGCAGTGACCACACTTCTTACTCACCACACAATGGATTCTTGGTCACATCAGGCTGGCCCAGGGACTTAGGGAAGAGTAAAAGTTGGAATGTTCCACCTCTCTTCAGCAAACTGGCATTAGTGATAGTGAAGAATTATCACTGCAGCCACACTTATGGAAATTCCAATAAAGGAAACACAAGCCAATAAATTAAGCAGCTAGTGGTGTGGTGATCTAAAAGAGGCAAGGGGTATGTCCCAAGAAACTGATGAGGGTAGAGGAAGGGGAACCCTACCTTTATGAATCTACCATGATGCAGGTTTGCCTCTCAGTTTTGTAGGTTCAACTACCTACTTAGTCAATACAGAGAGAATGAATCTATTAACCAGGGCAGACCTGGATTAATAAAGCTCCCAAGACTGACATGTAAAAACGGAAGGCTGTGTACTGATTTCCAGTGAGACCTACAACGGGATATGCAACCAGATAATTCAAGTGGTCTCGCCTATACAGCCTCTCCATGCAGAGAAGCTACCTGAGAAACCAAATTATAATCAGAAGGTTGCTTTGTGGATTAAGGGAGTTCATTATTTGAATCAAATGTTTAGTGCTATCACAGTCTGCTTACCAGGGACACTGTGCCTAAAATGGTGGGCTCTGCCCAAGGGCACCTGACCCCCGGACAGTGTTTAAGTGGGGGGAGACTACAGGAGACCACAGAAACCTTTACAACCAACTCCTGTCATGACTAGTATCGATTCTCTATAGATGTTAATGTTTTATCAAGCTACCATCTAATCCTGCTGGCCTGGGAGCAAATCCTATTTCTTTAAACAGCTGTTACATATCTTTTTTGATTCAAAGCACATGAAATCCAAAAAGTTTAGCTCAAACAATATCATGTTATGCATCTTATTTCCAAAGGTTTTAAGGAAAACTACATGGTAACTTATACTAATTAAAAATAATATTATGACTGCCTAACATTTAGTAAGAACTATATGTCAGGCACTTTTCTAAACAGTTACATGTATTAACTCATTTATTGCTCCCCATAATCTTATGAGGTAGGTATTATCATAATATCTATTTTCAAATAAGGAAATTGCAGCACAGAGAACTCATGTAGTAAAGGTTGAGCTAAGATCAAACCCAGGAGCCCTAGCTCCAGAATCCCAGTTCTTAATCACTATGCTTTAATGGCTCTCAAAATAGCAACAACATGGACTCACTACAAAGCCTGGGAAAATCAATACCCATTTTTACCCACACTGAGGCCTTTCTGTAGTTCTGCTCAGACTATTGCATCAGTAGGCATCCTGTAGACTATGGGAGCTAGGGAGGATGGGTGGGCTGGGCTGGAGAACTTAAGTAGCTCTAGATCCCAGAGTTTTGGCACCCTCCTCATCCCCTACTCCTTGTTTTAGCTAGAGCCTCATACCAAACATACGTCCTGAGATTACCTTAACTTGATGTCTCTGACTCTCAGGGATGTACAAAATCACAGACCTGAGGCAATGGAACATTGCTTTATTACTCTATTTAGTTAATTAAGTGGAATTGGTGCCTCAAAAAATTAAAAAGAGAATTATGTGATCCAGCAATTCTGCTTCTGAGTATATAACCAAAAGAATTAAAAATGGGGTCTCAGATATCTGTATACCCATATTCATAGCAACATTATTCATAATAGCCATAAGTAATCCAAGTGTCCATCAGTAGATGAATGGATAAAGAGAATGTAGAATATACATACAATGGAATACTATTTGGCCTTAAAAAAGAACGACATCCTGACACATTGCTAGAGTTGTGAATGAATCTTGAGGAAATCAAACTAAGTGAAATAAGCCAGCCACAAAACAAAAAACAAAAAACAAAACAAAACAAAAAAAAAACAGGTACTGTATGAATCCACTAATATGTGGTACCTAGAGCTATCAAATTTATAGAGACAGAAAGTAAAATGGTTGTCTTTGGGGGCTGGGAGAGGAGTGCGGAATGGGGAGTTATTGTTTAATGGTACAGGGTCTCAGATCTGCAAGATAAAAAAAGGTCTGGATATGGATAGTAGGGATGGTTGTACAATAATGTGAACGTAATATTACTTAAAGGTACACTTAAAAATGGTTAAGAC